GATACGACGCAGGAGGTGAGGCGCGCGGCGCGGCGCGGCGGGGAGGGCCCGCTGGGGGGAGGCCGGCCCGCGTGTGCTGCTGTGCTGGCGGGACCTGCGGCTCGGCGCTGCGCCGTGGCCCTGCCCCCACCCCTTGTCCCCCCTGCTGCTCGCCCCTGCTGCTCACCGCTGCTGCTTACCGCCGCCACCTGCCCCACACTCCCCCTCTGCGCCCGCCCTTCTACTTTCCTCCCACATGCCCACGCCCTCACTCCCATGTGCTCGCTCCCTCCCTCCGCCTCACCCGCCTCCCCCTCCACCCCCCTCCACCACCACCACCACCACACCCTCCCTTGGCACCCACGCAGGAGCCGTTCTCAACTACAGCGGTCTGTCCAGCCTGACCCCGGCCGAGGCCGCCGCCTCCGCCGCCCGCATGCTGCGCTTCTTCGACCTAGGCGGCCACGAGCGGTTCAGCAAGACGCTGCTGCACGGCCTCACAGCCATGCTGCCAGACCACGTGCTGCTCTGCGTGTCGGCGGTGGCAGGTGGGCGCGGCCGGGGCGGGCCGGCGGCATAAGGGGGTGGGGCGGCTGCGGGGTGAGGAGTGAGGAGTGGGGTGGCTGGCCCGGCGGCGGCACGTGCACGGACCGCCGCTGCTGTGCCTGCGCCCGGCGGCGGGCGCGGGGGCGGCCTGCGGGGCCTCAAGTGTGCGCCGTGCCGGAGGTCGGCGCGCGCCTCAGAGCGCGGCGTGTGTGTGTGAAGAAGAAGAGTGAAGCATCAGCAGCAGCAGCAGCAGCAGCAGCAGCAGCAGCACAAGCAGCAGCAGAAGAAACGAGAAGTGTGGCGCACGTGGGCGGCTCAGGGTGCGCCCGCTCCCCTCCCCTCCCCGCCCCCCGCAGGCGTGTCGTGGGCGACGCGCGAGCACCTGGCTGTGTCTCTGGCCCTGGGCATCCCGCTGCTGGTGGCCATCACAAAGGCGGACCAGGCCAGCGAGGCGGCGGTGGAGGCGGTGGCGGGAGATGTCAGGTGGGGCAGGGGAGGCGGGGAGGGTGGCGGGGCTGGAAGGGGGCGGCAAGGAGGCCTAAGGAGGCCTGGCCTTGGGTGCGGGAGGAGGGCAGGAGGGGTGCGGCGTCCCCGCAGGGTTGCCGGCGGTGCTTGGCGGGATGCCCTGCCACCGCCGCCGCCGCCGCCACCCGCCGCCTCACCGGCCCGCGCTGGCCACGCTGCCGTGCAGGTGCCTGCTGGCAGCGGCGGTGCGGCAGGGCGGGGGCAGCGTGGGCAGCGCCGCCTCGCTGGCGCCGCTGGTACAGACGGAGGCGCAGGCGGTGCAGCTGGCTGCCGCCGTGCATTGCAGCCGGATCGTGGCCCCAGGCGCCAGCCTGTGCGTGCCCTTGTTCCCCATCTCTGCCGTCACTGGGGCCAGCCTGCAGCTGCTCCACGCTTTCTTCTGTGCCCTGCCGCCGACTGGTGCCGCCGGCACAGCCGGCAAGGCGGCAGGCACAGCAGCGGGAGCTGGCGGCGGCGAGGGCATGCAGGGCTGGGGCGGGGGACCATTGCAGCAGCAGCAGGCGGCGCCCACCGGCGCGCCAGCGGCGGCGGCGGCGGCGGCGCCAGCGGAGGGCGATGGCGGCGGCACTGGGCCGAGCCAGCCCGCTCACTTTCAGATAGATGGCTGCTTTGAGGTGGCGGATGTGGGAACAGGCAAGCCCTCGGCGCCGCGCAGCCCGCCTGCTGAGCGCGGCCCTCTTCCTCCCGCCGCTGTCTCTCTCCTGCCGCACACGCGCAGGCCCTGTCTCACCGTGCCCAGTCTCGGCGGCTCCCCAGCCCTTGCATGCCCCATGCACATGCACAGCACAGCCACCCGCGCCACCACCACGCGCGCCGACACCACTCACCTCTCTCTCCTCCCTCCTCCCACCCCCACCTCCACCCCCGCCCCGCCACGCGTGTGCAGTGTACAGCGGCACCGTGGTGTGCGGCAGCCTGCGCATCGGCCAGCAGCTGCTGCTGGGGCCGCTAGACGGCGGCGCCTTCCGTTCAGTCATAGTCACCGGCATCCACCGCTCCAAGGTGGATGTGGGGGCGGCGCACCGGGGCCAGCACGCAACCGTGGCGGTGCAGCCCCTGGGCGGCGGCGGTGAGGAGGCGGCGGGGGAGGAGGAGGGGGTGGCGGCGGCGCCGGTGCGAGCCGACAGCGCCGGCTGCCTGCACGCCTGGATGCAACAGGCCGGCGGCAGCCCCGCTGTGGCCATAGGCCCGCAGGCCGGCGCAGCGCCTGGGCCGGGGGCGGCCTGCGGCGCCGCGCGCGGCCCCAGCAGCAGCCTGACGGCGCAGCTGGCGGCCTGCCAGGCGCGTCAGGCGCTGCCTGCTGCGGCGGCGGCGGGCTCGGCACCCGGGGGGGACCACCTGCATCGCCTCTGGGGCTCCTCCCCGCAGCTGGCCCCTGGCGGCGGCGGGCCCGCGCCTCGCCCACGCAAGGTGCGCGCAGGCACAGGCGCCGGCAGAGCGGGCCCCTGGCACGCGGGCTGCTGTGCAGCAGCAACCAAGGCAGCTGCCGCGCAGCGTCCCCTCTCGCGCCCCTCACCGAGCGCAGCCTCCATGTAGCTTCCATCACGCGCCCGCTCCCGCCTCCCCTGCCGCCGCAGGGCGCCGTGCTTCTGGACCCCTCGCTGGCCCCCTGCGCCTGCACACAGTTTGAGGCGGTGCTGGTGCTGCTGGGGGGCCACTGGCCCGCCAGGGGCCTGCTGTCGGGTGGGCCCCGCCCGCCTGGCTGCGCTGCCTGGCCAGCCCGCTGCCTCGTCCAGCCAGCCGGCCAGCCAAGTGGAACAAAGGGGAAAAAACAAAAAGGACAAAAAGGAAAGAAAAAACGGAAAAAACAGCACGTAGCAGCGGGGGCACCCTGGTGCCGCCTCTCACGCTACTCATCATCGCGCCGCCGTGCCCCTCCCTCCCTCCCTGCCTGCTGCCGCCCCGCCCGCAGGCTGCTACCCGCCAGAGGGGGATGAGAGCGAGGAGGCAGACCCCGCGCTGGTGCCCCGAGGCGGCTCCTTCGACCCCTCCCTCGCCACCGCGGCCGGCGACGGCGGCGGCGGCCTGGGCGGCGGCAGCCTGGGCGCGGCGCGGCCGCACAGCCTGGGCTCCGGCAAGGTACGCCGCCCCCGGCTGGCACACGCCTGCACACACACACACCACGCAGGGCCCGGCAGCCGGCCGTATGACAGCTGCTTGCTGGAGGCAGCAGGCCGTGCTTGCTGGTTAGGGGGAGAGCGCCCGTGGTTGCCCCACCCTCCTGACCTCACGCCGTGCCCGCTCGCCTCCCCCGTATCCCGCTCGCAGCTGCACCGCGCCGCCTCCCGCCGCCGCCTGGCCTCCTACACGCCCGTGGTGCACTGCGGCAGCATCCGCCAGGCCGCGCACGTCGTGGCCATGCGGGAGCTGCCGCTGCACGCAGCTGGCGGCGGCGGCGGCGGCGGCGGCGCCAGACAAGAGCCCTGGGGCGACGGCGAGGCGGCGGCGGGGTGGGTGCGGGAGGACTCGTGCGGCGTGGATGAGCTGCTGTCTGCGCTGGATCTGCTGTCGGAGCTGTCTGGAGGCAGCGAGCAGCCCGGCAGCCAGCCCGACCCGCGACAGCTGGCAGGCGCCGTGGCGGCCGCCGGCGTGCTGCTGCCGCACGCGCTGCCTGCGGCCGGTGCCAGCCCCAGCGCAAGCACCAGCGCAAGCGCAAGCGCAAGCGTCCCATCCACGAGCGCCGCCGGCACCAGCCCCGCCTCGGCGGCCGGCAGCAGCGGCGCGGGCAGCGGCGAGGGCACGCCCGTCACGCCGGCAGCGCCAGCAGGCGGCGGCGGCGGCCCGGGGCTGCAGCTGGCGGCGGCGCTGGAGCGCCAGCGCTCGCTGCTGCAGCCAGGCGACGACATCGGCTGCCTGGCGGTCGTTACCTTCGCCTTCATGCACCAGCCAGGTGAGACTGGGGGCAGGGAAGGGAGGGAGGGTGGTATCAGCGAGCGTAGGCCGACAGTGCTGACCTGGCGCCCTCTGGCTGGCGACTGCTGCGGCACTGCCCGGTGCTTGACGGCCCTGCTGGGCAGCCGCTCCCCTGCTGCAGAGTGGCTGGTGGAGGGCGCCCGCTTGGTTGTGCGCGACAGGACCAGCGGGCGCGCCGCGGGGGCCGGGTACGTGACAGCGGTGCACTTGTCTGCCCGGCAGGGGGCCGGCAGCTGACCCTGCTCCCCATGCCAGCCAGGCAGACGCTGCGGAGCCGTCGGTTGAGCGCTTGTTGCCCCACCCACTGCTGCCTCGGCAAACCGTAAGCCTGCCCCCCGTAAACCATGAACCATCTCCCGCCTCGCAATGCCTCCCTGCATACCATTACTTGTTGCCTGGCACGCCATGCCCGTGCCTGCATGTGTGTGCTACCGCCCCTCTTTTGTGCATTGCCCGTTGTTGGCTGCGTTGGGTGCCTGACCTGACTTGTTGTGCGTGCCACAATCACCCCCTCCTGCTCTGCTCAGCGCTATTCGACCGCTTTGCCAGTTTAGCCCGCATTTTGCATCTGTTCTTCTCCTTCCCTGTTTCATCACATGTTGCTGTAATTCTAGCTGTACCAGAGGGTGGAGAGGTAGGTGTCATTAGGCCTGGCCATCGCCGTGTCGCCGTGCTCTGGGGCGGCACGCTGCGCCGGCACGCTGCGCCTGGCATGCTGGGCGGTGGGGCCCCACCGACGACACGTCTCGCTGTTATCCCAAACTGTGCTGAACTCAGTGCATGCAAGCTGCGCTGAACCTCACACCGTGGTTCTCACCTCTTCTGTTTCACTGCGCGCATCTATCAGCTCGACAGCTGCTGCGTGCTTCTAGCATATGCTGAGCGGCCGGAGGCTGAGCGGCAGCCTCCCTAGGGGGTTTCCGCTCCCTCGCCCTCTTCGCCACCCGCGCTTGGCACGCACGGCGGCGCGAGCTGCACACCGAAATCAGGACGCGTATGCCGCGCCAGTCGCTGCGCGTGCCCTGGCCGCGTGCGCCGCCTCGCTGGTGCTGGGCGCCGCCAGCGGCGCCGGTGCCGCCACCACGCTTTCGGCGGGGTGAGCCTGCTGCCGGCCTCTGCACCTGCAGGCTTCCACACCTCCAGCATGCACCCTGTCGGCCATGCTGATGTGCCACGCGGCTCGCCGCCTGCTGCAGGGCGGTCTCCGCGCACCTAGAGGGCACCGTGCCGCTGAAGCGAGCGGTGGTGGAGGAGATGCTCGTGCAACGCCTGGCTGATAGGCTTCACTCGCTCTCAGATGGCCAGCTGGCGACGCTGATGGAGCAGGTGCTGCAGGGGGATGCAGCGCGCCTCCCGGCAGAGCTGCTGCAGCCCCCGCCGCAGCAGGAGCAGCGGCCTCCCGCCGCCGCCGCTGTGCCGTGGCCGCGGCAGCCGCCGCCGTCTGCGCAGCAGCAGGGCAGCGGCCAGGCGGAGGCACTAGAAGCGCCGCTGCCGCCGCCGCCGCCGCTGCCGCCGCCGCCGCCGCTGCCCCTGCCGCCGCCGCAGCAGCAGCAAGGCACAGCCGCTGCGCCGGCTGCTGCCAGCAGCAGCCCTCTGCCCAGCAGCGGCGACGGCGACGGCGGCAGCGGCGCAGCAGAGCTGCAAGAGGGGCCGGACCTGACTCAGGAGCTGCTGGGGAGGTTCCACCGGCAGCGTGAAGCGAGCAGCGGCGGCACAGGCGCGGAAAGCGGCCCCGGCCTCCGGCTGCCCGGGGCGCTGTCGGATGCAGGCAGCTGGCGCCTGGCGCTGCTGGCGGTCGCGGGCCCTGCTGTGCTGATTGCCAGCCTGGCCAAGCTGACGGGCGGCGACGGCAAGCAGCAGCAGCAGCAGCCAAGCTCCCAGCCGCCGGAGCAGCAGCAGCAGCAAGCGCAGCGACCGGAGCAGCAGCCGCAGCAAAGCGAGCCGTCTCAGGACCAGCCGCAGTGGCAGCTGCCAGCAGCGCTGGCCCAGCCGGCACAGCGCCAGGACAAGGAGCAGCAGCGGCAGCCCTGGTCCCTTCTGTCGTGGCTCTTCGAGTCGCAGAAAAGCGAGGAGAGGGAGGAAGCGGGACGGCAGGGAGCAGCAGCAGAGAGCGCTCCTGCAGGAGCTGCGGAGCAAAGCAGCCGGCAAGCTGTGCCTGCCGCCGCCTCCGGTGCGCAGCAGCAGCAGGTGGGGGCTGGGCAGGGCGGCCCGCTGCCTCCGCCCCCGCTGCCGCCCGGGTATGCTGACCCCTTGGCCGCCGGAGGCGGCAGCAGCGATGCGGCGGCGGCAGCAGCAGCTCCGGGCGCCATTCTGTGGCAGCGCAAGGAGCCAGCTCAAGAAGCCGGCAGCAGCAATGCCGCGGCGGCAGACGGTGGCGCGCCCATTCTGTGGCGCCGCGCTGAGCCTGTCGAGCCTGCGCTGCACGCTTCATCAGAGCAGCAGCAGCCGGAGCTGGCGGCAGAGCAGCCGTTTCTCGCGCCAGCAGCCAGCGCTCTTGTAGGGTCTTCCAGCTCGCTCGCAGCTCCAGCCAGTGGCAACGGCAGCAGCAGCGGCGGCGTCGACTTGTGGCGCCTCCCCCTGGAGCAGCTGCGGTCCATCGCCAGCGAAGCGGCTGCCGACCCTGCGCCGCCCGCTGCGCCCGCGCCCCTTGCCGGCAGCAGCAGCAACGGCGCGGGAGCTGCGGCAGAGGAGGAGCCTGCCGAGCCGGCAAGCGCCGGTGCTGCCACCGCTACTGTGGGGGCCAGCGCAGAGGCCTCCGTGCAGGCAGCAGACGGCGGCAGCCCAGGTGCTGGCACGCCGGCCCCTGGTGCGGGCCGGCGGCACTCCTCCAGGGCCAGCCCAGACGCCGCTCTGGACAACGCCGAGCCGTCCGCGGGCTGGTTTGGGCGGCTGCAGCGCATGAGCCGCCGCCGCGGCGTGGGCGCTGGCGCTGGCGGGGTGCTGGACGATGACGAGTGAGCCCAGCCCAGGGCGTGCCCATAGCCTCGCTGGAGCCGCGCCCTCGACTGAGTTTTGATCGAGGTTTGAATCGGTGATGCCTGGGCAATTTTCGGCGCTCTGGTCGGGTCTCATGCCCTGCCCCTGCCTTCTTCTGCGTGACCTTGACTTTCTTGACCGCCAGAGAGCGCGCTGCCCTGTAAACAACGTGAGAGAGTCGCCCACAGAAACCCCGGCGGGCGGCGCTGGGAGCGGTACTGTGTATTTTGGTCCTGGTTCACCGTTTGCGCCTGCCCGCCGGTGATCGGGCACCTTCGTGCGATACAGAGCGCTGTGGGAGCCCTGCAAGCAGAAAACAGTGTCCACTGCAGGATTCCAGGCAGTGCACGTTGCCGTACAACCCCTTTTTGCGCCATCTGCCGCCACACGACGCCGAATAGAAGCGCATTGTGCACGGGCGACGCATTGCAAAAGTGCAGCAGCGTGGCGGTGGCAGCAGGTTGGCTGGCGCAAAGAGCTCACCAGTGGCCGAGTGCTGGCACCTCCTACGGCCCGCTGGGCCCTCAGACCGAGCTGCAGCTCACCCTGACAGCAGCAGCCGGCGAGCGGGGCGCTCAGACGGCCATGCAGTGAGGGACGGCACACCAAGCCGCAGCCGCCCACCATGGACCTCGCTGGGGAGGGCAGCAGCGGGGACAACACCAACAATGCAGCCGCTAGCAGCTCCGGAGCCACCGACTGTGGCCTGTTTTCTCCCTCGGGGCTCAAGGTCCGTGACTCTCGCGTGTATCTGACGCCGCCGCCCGGCCCTGTGGCTGTGACATGCGATGCAAGCCCTGAGCGCGTGCACGGCGACGTGCAGCATGCCGGGCCGCCCCCTACAGGGGGTGGTGGGTGGTCAGGGGGGCTGAGCCCGTAAGTCTGTCTCCCCTTCCCCTCTGCAGGTGCTGGTGGTAGATGACGATCCGATGTGCTTGAAAGTGGTGTCGGCCATGCTGCAGCGGTGCAACTACGAAGGTGGGCGCAGCTGCGGCGGGCGGTGGCCATCCAGCGATCACCGCCTGCGAGCGGGCACACGGTCGTGCTGCGAACACCAGGCCCTCCCCTGGGGTGCTGGTTGTGCTGCCAGGTGGAGCAGGCTGCCTGCAGGCGCTTCGTGCCATCCACGCTCGGCCCCTTGGCTGCTGCATCCGGTGCTTGCAGTTGACACGCGGACCAGCGGGCAGGACGCGCTGCTGCTGCTGCGGGACCGGCAGGAGCACAACCACCAGTTTGACCTGGTGCTGTCGGACGTCTACATGCCAGGTGCGGCAGCAGGCAGCAGCAGCAGGCAGCGCCGCGCGGACTGGGGCGCCAGCTGGACGCCAGCCGCCAGCCGGCGACACGGCAGCCAGCGCGCTCGCACCCGCGTGCTGCTAACGCGCGTGCCGCTGCCTGCTGCCCTGCCCTGCCGCAGACATGGACGGCTTCAAGCTGCTGGAGCACATCGGGCTGGAGCTGGACCTGCCGGTCATCAGTGAGCGGCCGCCGCCGCATGCCGCCGCACGCCGCACGCGCCGTGCCTGCTGCGCCTGCGCCACCCCCGCCCCGCCTGCGCCCCGCTCCCACCCAGCGCTCTCCAGCCCGCGCGCGGCCTGCTCTGCCCCGGCCACACGCCCGCCCGCGCCGCGCTTTCCTTCCACCCCGCAGTGATGTCCTCCAACGGCGACACCGACGTCGTGCTGCGCGGCGTGACGCACGGCGCCGTCGACTTCCTCATCAAGCCTGTGCGGGTGGAGGAGCTGCGCAACGTGTGGCAGCACGTGGTGCGACGCCGCTCGCTGCACGTCGGCCGCGCCTCGGACGAGCACTCGGGGCTGGACCTGGAGCAGGTGGGGAGGGGGGGGAGGGAGGGATGCGGCGTGTGTGTGTGTACTTGCGGGTGCGCGCGTGGCGGTGGTGGGCTGCTGCGCCTTGCGCCGCGGCCGTGCCCCGTGTAGCGGCCGCGGCGTGTTTCTGGGGCGGGCAGGCTGTCGGAGCGGGGTGGGCGCGCTAATCCAGCCTGGGAGTGCGCCGGCTCCGGCGTGGCATCCCGGCCCTCACGCCGCTGCTGCGTGCCTTGCCCCTCCCTCCACCACCACCCCACCCACCGCCGCCACCCCACGCGCGCCCCCTGCAGCACCAGCACCACCACGGCGTGAAGCGCAAGGAGGTGGAGGCGCTGCAGGTGCAGCACGAGACGCAGGGGGCCAACAAGAAGCCGCGGGTGGTGTGGAGTGTGGAGATGCACCAGCAGGTGGGGCTGCTGCTGGGGCTGGCTGGTGGTGGTGGCGGTGCAGGGGCTGGGGGGGAGGGGCACGGCTGGAGGGGCCACGTGGCGGCGCCCGGCTGCAAGGAGGCGCGGAGGCGGCGCCCAGCGCCCGGCCCCTGTGCCCCTCCCACCCCGCTGCCTTGTTGCCCCCTCCCTCCCTCACTCATTCTCTCATTCACTCCCACCCACCGCCTCCCCTGGCCCCCCTTCCCCGCCCCAGTTTGTGGATGCCGTGAATCAGCTGGGCGTGGACAAGGCTGTGCCCAAGCGCATCCTGGACCTGATGAATGTGGAGGGTCTGACGCGTGAGAATGTGGCCAGCCACCTTCAGAAGTACCGCCTGTACCTCAAGCGCGCGCAGGGCCTGCAGAGCGGCAAGGGCTCCAAGGGGCACAAGGCGGCACAGGAGGCGGCCATGCTGGACCCGCAGGCGGCGGCGGCGGCGGCGGCGGTGGCCGCCGGCGCAGGCCCCTCCTCCGTCTTTGCCCAGGTGGCCGCGCAGCAGGCGGCGATGGGCGGCGGCGCGGGCCTGGGGCAGCCAGGCATGGCGCAGGCGGGGATGCCGGTGATGGGCATGCCGGGGGCGGCGGCCGCGGCCATGCAGGCGGCCGCCTGGCAGCAGCAGCAGATGGCCATGCAGGCGGCGGCGGCGGCGGCGGCGGCCAGCGGCGCCATGCCGCCCGCGGCCATCCCCTTTGCCATGCCCCCAGGGGCCATGATGCCGCCGCACGTGGCAGGTGGGGCGGGCGGCTGGCTGGCTGGCTGGCGGCAGGGGCCAGCGCTGGGCTGTGGCGCTGGGCGGTGCCGCGCCGCGCCAGGGAGCAGCCCATTGCTTGCTGCTTGCCAGCTGGGTGCCACGCCATGCCAGCCATCAACAGGCCCACTTCTGCCCCCTGCCCTCTGCCCCCCATCCTCCGCCCCGCAGCGGCCATGGCAGCCGGCATGCCGATGGGGATGATGGCAGCGCCGCCAGGCATGCCCGGCATCGACCCCGCAGCTTTCCACCCCATGGCCGCCTTCGGCCAGCAGCAGGCGGCGGCCGCCGCGGCGGCGGCCGCAGCCGCGGCGGCTCCCGCCGCCGCAGCGGCCGGCGCGCAGCAGCAGCAGCAGCAGCAGCAGCAG